GCACAGAGCCCGATGCGGGGCTAGAACTCATGAACTGTGAGATCGTGACCTGAGTCGAAGTCGAACGCTTAGCCGACTGAGCCACCCAGGCGCCCCTGTAGGAATCTACCTTAAGAAATTAATATGAGGGGCGCCTGGGTGGCTCAGTCGGTTGGGCATCTGACTTCGGCCCAGGTCATGATATCGCGGTTCGTGGATTCGAGCCCCCGCATCGGGCTCTGTGCTGACAGCTCAGAGCCTGGAGCCTGCTTTGGATTCTGTGTCTCCCTCTCTCTCTGCCCCTACTCACACTCTGTCTCTGTCTCTCAAAAATAAATATTGAAAAAAAAATTAAAAAAAAGAAATTAATATGAAATGAGAATAAAACTTAATATACTATGATAGTCATTAAGGAAATATTATTATAATGGAAGTTAGAAGAAAAACTAAATGTTTAACAAAATCAGAATGGTTAAGTAAACTACCGCATAGAGTACAAATTTAAAATTATGTATAGGAAAATATCTATTAGTGAATTGTTTAAGTCCAGTTAAAAAAGGAGGTACAAGATTTAAAATTTTATACACAGAGTTTTAAATATGTTTTTACAAATGAAAGAAACTATATTAAAACATTAAAATATTTAGCTTCTCAATTATGGAATAATGGGTATTTTTCCCCCCAAATGTTTCACACTCTGATTTCCCTTCACATTTTCTACATTAAGTGTATGTTACTTTTAAAATAATTAAGAAGTAAAACAACACACCTATATCTAAGAGAGGAAGTGATTAAGAGGACATTCTTTTTTCTATATTAAAAGCAGAATTGTTATGTAACATTATATGCCAACTATATTTTAATAATACAAAATAAAAATTAAATAAAAAGTAAAGGTATAATTGTTACATTTTGGCATATGATATAACTTACTCTTTCGCTTTCCAATATCCATGTCAGAGGTAGCAGCTTCACATAAGAGCACCATCCCTAAGGTAACCCCACCATCTTAGAAAAATTGTTTAAGGAGAAATTCATACAGACACAAAGACATACTACTTTAATATTCTTATTATTTCATGAAGAAAATTACAGTGAACATACAAACCTTCAAATTTCAATTACCAAAAACTAAAATACATAATCTTGTATCTATACAGAATGGCAATTATTTACTATGAAAATATAATAAAAATATTAAGGTTGGAAAATTACTTCATTTGTACAAATAAAAACTAATATTTTCAACAAATATCCCACAATAACTCACAAATGAAATATGAGTTTTCCTGACATGGTACTTTGATATAACCTTATTGGACATTCTGGCAACTATTGCTACATCCTTGTATATGTTTTATTTATTTATTTTAATGTTTATTTATTTTGAAAGAGAGAGAAAGAACTTGAGGAAAGGAGGGACAGAGAGAGAGAATCCCAAGCAGGCTCCATGCTGCCAGTGCAGAGCCCGATGCAGGGCTTGATCTCATGAACCAAGAGATCATGACCTGAGCCGAAATCAAGACTTGACATTCAACCACCTGAGCCACCCAGGCACCCACAACCTTGTATACATTTTAAAACATAAATATCCTTTATGATTATTCAACCACCCTCCCAAATTGAAAACACTTGAAATGTACACCATTTGGAGAGAATAGCAACTAATTTTTATTTAAAAAATAACTTTTCAAAAATTCTCCAGAATTTCAACAATTAACTGTTAAAGCACAAATTACTACTAAACTCAGCTTGACATATTCTAATAAAAAAAAAAGAAAATCCTGTATATCATCACCTCAATTTTATTCAGCTTAATATAGAAGCTACATAAATACAAAATATACCTACTCATGAAAATAGGTTACACATGGGATGGTTAACTGCTAAAATAAGCAAAATTGAATTTTAAAGCAAATATAATGTGTTCTTTTTTTTTTTTAATTTTTTTTCAACGTTTATTTATTTTTGGGACAGAGAGAGACAGAGCATGAACGGGGGAGGGGCAGAGAGAGAGGGAGACACAGAATCGGAAGCAGGCTCCAGGCTCCGAGCCATCAGCCCAGAGCCTGACGCGGGGCTCGAACTCACGGACCGTGAGATCGTGACCTGGCTGAAGTCGGACGCTCAACCGACTGCGCCACCCAGGCGCCCCTAAAGCAGTCCACTCTTGATTTCATCTCAGGTCATGATCTCACAGCTTTGTGAGTTTGAACCCCATGTCGGGCTCTGCGCTGATTGCTCAAA